TGACTCTCCATCGATTCCTTTCTTTTGTTCTTATCAAAGAGGAGAATACTCCAGTATATAATTCAGGGAATAACGACGAATCTTCATCACACAAATTAAGACAACACAAATTACTAATGACATATTCGTTTTTCTTATAGTATAAGCAAAGTATATTCACTTATTGGCATCGAGCCATGCCTCCTGTTACAATAATGGAATATTTAATTGCTAAGAAGGGTACGCCAAAAGGCGCAAGTATATATATATATATATATATATATATATATATATGTGTGTGTGTGTGTGTGTGTGGTTAATGAAGAACAAAATGGAAACATTCTATATAAATAATATTTCTCCCCAAAAATTTTCCTTTGTTTGTATGCATGTATCTATGTTTTGTTCAAGAGCATTTGTGTATGTTTCGTTTCCATCAATCTCACTCAGTTTCGTTCACACACACATATATATATATATATATATATATGTACACCTATGAGTGTTTTTTTCTATCGATGACTGTTCTATATATATATATATATATATATATATATATATATGCGTTTCGTTTCTATGTATGAGTGTCTTTTTTCTATCGTTTCTATCTATTTCATTTGTATCTATCTCTATATTGTTTCTATTTATGCTTCATTTTTATGCATCTATCTCGCTTCTGTCTATGTATGCATCTATCTTTTTCTATCTAAGTCTGTTTCGTTTCTATTTATATAAGTAAGTCTGTTATATTTCTAAGTAAGTCTGATTGTTTTTGTCTAAGTCTGTTTAGTTACTATCTATTTAAATCTGTTTTTGTCTATTTAAGTAAGTCTTTTGTTTCTATCTATGACTGTTTCGCTTCAATCTATGTATCTAGGATTCGTTTCTATCTGTGTATCTATCCCTGTCGTTCCTAACTATATGTCAGTATTTCATTTCTATCAATGTTTCGCTTCTATCATTCCATCTATTTCGTTTCTATGCCTCCATGTTTAGATTCATATATTTATATAATTGTTATGGCCCGGTTCCTTGTACCACGGTGATAGTCCAAGGTAGAACCAATAAAGAAGAACTCGAACACGGAGACGGAATAACACAGATATATTACAAACAGGAATATATACAGAGGAGTAGAAAGTGTTAGTACGAACAATCAGGTTTAGTAATAATTGTCTGAACGCGACTCTGTTTCGGACTGCCTCTGACTCGACTGACTGACTCGCTCGCTCTGACTGACTGATAGACTCTTGACAGACTTCACTCCAGACTTCAGACGGAACGGTATTCAGTCCCCCTCCCCACGAGGGCATCATGTGGCACAAGGCCGGTTTAACGTGGAATCTCCGAGCCCGTGGGCTCGGCAAAAAAAAATATGCCCTTTGAGCCCGTATAAACGGGTTCAGGGTCGGTTTACTTCCCCGAAAGAGACTTCGCCCTTCGGCGTAGCCTCGTTCGGGTTCCTCCCCGCCCGAAGGCAGAGAGTTCAACCGATCAGTCGGTCAGCCGGTCGTCCGACTTCGGACTGAACTCCCTGCTTCCTTTTGAAGCGCAGTATTTATTACGTAGGGAATAGTCCATTATGTTATTATGGGTAATGTCCCATAACAATAATTACGTCTGTTGTGTTTATATATATCCAAGTAAGTCTGTTTTTTTGTAAGTAAATCTGCTTTATATATATATATATATATATATATATATATATATATATATATATATATATATATAAGTAAGTCAGTTTTGATTTTATATATCAATCTATGACTGTTTCGGATCTATCTATGACATTTTAATTTCTATCTGTCTGTCTGTGAATGTTTCGTTTATGTCTATCTATGTATTTTGGTTTCGAGCTATCAATCTATGACTTTCTATCTATGTATTGATTCTATTTATCTATCTTCCGTTTCTGTCTATCTGTTTATATTTATAAATATATATGTTTCGTTTCTATCTATGTATCTATCTATCTTTATTTCGTTTCTAACTATCTGTCTATGTATGTATCCTGTTTCTAGCTATCACTGGCTCGTTTATATCGATCTATTCATATGTCATTTTTGTTTCTATCTCTGTCTATCTAAGTCTGTTTTGTTTCTATCTATTTAAGTAAGACTGTTTTGATTCTCAATATATCTGTTTTGTTTCTAAGTACGTCTGCTTTGTCTTTATCAAACTCTCTCTATAAGTCTGATTTGTTTCCATCCATCCGAGAAAGTGCGTTTTGTTTCTAAGTAAGTCTCTTCTAATTCTATCTAAGTGCGTCTGTTTTGTTTCTATCTATGACAGTTTCTATCTATCTCTGTATCTATCTGTTTCTTTTCAATTTATATCTCTATTTTTCCTTTCTGTCGCGTTTTTATCTTTATTTGTTTCTATCTATCTATCTATCTATCTATCTTTCCTTGTTTTATTTCTGTCTATTTATCCATCTCTGTTTCTTTCTAAGTCCGTTTTGTTTATATTTATTTATCTATTTATAAAAGTAAGTCTGTTTTATTTCTATCTGTTTATCTGAGTAAATCTGTGTTATTTCTATCTATCCGAGTAAGTTTGTTTTGTTTCTGTCTATCAAATTATCTAAGTGAGTGTGTGTTTTTTATTCATCTATTTAAATAAGTGTGTTTTGTTTCAAAGTATCTTATTGAAATTATTACGAGTCTTTCGGAGTAACCCCACGGGCTACTTTGAACGGGCCCATTGGCATTGTTACAACCAGAAATTAAAAAATCTAAAAGAACTGTTAACAGGATGTTTCTTTTTTGTGATAAGTCCGCAAAATACCGTTTTTTTTTTTTGCAACACCAGTATAGTAAACATTATTCCTTTCTACCTTCTTCTCATTATGCTGTTATACTCATAAAAGGTTTGAATCTCAACGCCGTGTCACGTCATTGAATTAATTTATTGACTACAGAGGTAATTACTTATCTTATTGAACAAGCTTAAACAGAGATGCCAACACTTTGCAAAAAAAAAAAAAAAATGTTATTGTGCGGACTTGTCACAGAAAAGAAACGTTCTGTTAACAGTACTTTAAGATCTTGTGATTTCATGTTGTTGTGGTGGTGGCACGGCAATGTCGCGGAGTCCGGTCTTCCTGGGGATTATGAAGATATTTCATCACGTGGAGTAGGCGCTATATATATTATTTATATATTATATGCGCGTTCATGGAAATGGGAGGAAAATTGTCGCCACTAATATTTACGCAAACATATATAAACGCCCGTACACCCATTGAGGTACGCAGACACACATACACGCGCTCGCCCACCGGAGCTCGAATAAACATAAATATATGTGAACAGTATGGGACTTGGTATATATATGTAAATGTGTGCTGTTGTATACATACGTACGCATTTGATTGCTGAATTCAATGAAGGATTGTGTAGCAAATAATATTCCTGAATAGAGCGATGCCAACACGCAGACTATTTTTTCCGCTGAATGATATTTCCTCGCACGCACGTATATACGTACGTATGGGGTCTGTGTAAAACTATGATAGGTAAAAGCGCGTGTATGTGTGTCTGCGTACCTTAATGGGTGTACGGGCGTGTATATATGTTTGCGTAAGTATGAATGGCGTCACGAAGACAATTTTCCCTCCCACTTCCTAAATAACGCCAATACACGCAACCATACATAAATCCAAAATTTTAAAAAATTAAGCAGTTTGTCTGACGATCGCAAATGTGTGAAACCCAGGGTCACAAACTCACATCAATCCATATATATATATATATATATAAACGACTTCCGGTAAAATAACCGCCATAATAGAATACCCACAATGCACCACTAACCCGCATATATATAAATAGCCGAGGAAAATAACAGCATATGTGGCCTGACGATTGCATATAGCATGAAACAGACAGTCGCCTCTAAGTGTTGACTTCTATGTTCACTTTTATATTTACACACGCTCTATCTCTGATATTGAGCACTTTATTCCATAAATATAGCACACCTTAAGACTATATTTCTTTTATATATATATATATATATATATATATATATATATATATATATATATATATATACAAGTATAGGATTGGTGTATACAGAATAAATTCTAATAACCAACAATTACTATTCTTAAAAGATTGCTCAATACATAGTAGAACAGATATAATTATTTATTTAAAGATTATAACATAAATATGTTACAAAATCACTACAAATGTAATGATTTTATAACATATTTATGTTATAATTTTAAAATAATTAATATATATATATATATATATATATATATATATATATATATATATATATATATATATATATATTTATATAATTCATATTTTTAAAATAATTATAATTTAAGCTCTACTTCTGTATGGAGCACTGCTTTTTATAAATAAAAAAAAAAAATACTAAAGAACTCCGGATTATTTACCTTACGTGTTCTTTTCTATTTTTCTACATATCTGCATATATATATATATATATATATATATATATATATATATATATATATATATATATATATATATATATATATATATATGTGTGTGTGTGTGTGTGTGTGTGTGTTTATTGAATTGATCGGATGGTTTGTTTATAGGAAACGCCTAACTGATATTCTAATAATTCGTTGACAAATTTTATAATGATGGAAGACGTCAACCGAGAATTTCAAATATATACATGAATTTCCTTCTAAAATGAATTTTTACATTCTTTTCGATGTATTTTTGCCTGCAGCAGATATCACGTTTCTGTTTAATCTGAGAAAAAAAAACAAAAAAAACCATCCCAGAAGTGTCTTCATTTTGCAAGACTTGCGTTTTACTGGGATTAATTTTGTGTTTCCGCCCAAGTCGTAAGATAAAAATGCGTTTTCTTAACCATCGTAAGGTGTTTCTCCAGCTTTTAGAATCTGTTAATCAAGATTAAGACAACAGAGAACTAGAAAACATCGAACCAGTTGAGGTAGAGTCGTATTTTGTATCCGTGGATATGCAAAAGGAATTGCTCTTTTCTAATTGACGACATGCCGTTCATAGGTCACAATGATCTTTAGCCCGTTATGAAAATCGGTTTGCAGTTTTGCACCTACTTTTCTACATTTTAACAAGGCAGTAGTGAAAAGCATGATTGGAAGGTTAATTAGTGCATTGCCGAAATCATTTTTGATTAAATGATGTCAGTATTTGCTATTGGGGCAAAATGGGCAGCCGCAGTAGCACTTGTAAAAGTCTTATTGTAAGTTTTTTTTTTTTTAGAATTTTTTTTTTACAAAAATAGATAAAAAGAGCTAAATTGCTCTAAATGGTTTCAACTCTTAAATTTGATTTACAAAACGAATATAGAAATCTCAAATATAATTAATATTTTTTCTATTAATTCATTGGCGGAAAAATTATAAAAGACAACAAAAAACATACAAAAACAAAAAAACAAAAAACAAAACAAAAAAACAAAACAAAAGAAGCTAATATACTAAACATGTTTAAAAAATGTATTTAGCATAAATAATATATATTCTACATGCACATAAATCTATTATATATCTGAAACATAAGATGATTCAGCGACAATTTGCTGATGTGTAATAGGATTACTTACTCGAAAATTCAAAACAAGACTGAAATATATTCGAGCAGATTTTTTTAATATCATTTTTTTAAACGACAGGAAGTAGCCGATCAGGTATCTCCATAAATTCGTTTTCTTCCTTATCTGTTAATTACTATATATATTTTTCATGCCATGTAATGCCAACCAAGATTATAATGCTGCTAAAACTCAAGGGGTTTCTGAGCGTGAAAGAAAATAAGCATAAAAATGAACAGGGTTCGTGAAAGCAGAAGATAACGATTTACGTGAATTTTACATTTTTGAATAATGTGGTTGACAAGAAAGCAAGAATCTAGTATAAATTTCCAGAAGTCGAGAAGTGCTAGAAAATAAACTATCAGAATAGAACTAGAATAATCTAGCAAGTTAAACAGTGGAATTATGAGACCTAGCTGTTACTCTAGAACTACGCCTAAATTCATAACATTGAGGTGCCAAAGAGGAAAGCTCAGCAGAAAAATTACCATGAAAATATTTATAGAAAAGGCAGAGGGAAGCTACTTCGCGGCGGTGGAAAATAATTTCTTCTCTTTGACACTTTGAAACAAATATAACAAATTCTCACAAACTTTATCCACTTTCTGACATTACTGTTATATACAAGCGTATGGTTGCAAGAAAGAAATACGACAACAGCAGAAATAGATTTACGTGGTTTATTTCAACAGGAACGGAGGGTTTGGGACAGGTACCTTGTGGTATAGTGCATAAGCCGGCTTCGGATCTAGGTCGATCTCTCATAGTAGTTCACACATGTTGACGGTGGTTGATGCTCCCCTACTGGCAGCTGCTGACCGCTCGGCCTGGCCACCTGTGGACTGACTGTTGAACTTCCATGTGACCCCTTTTATAGCGTTTTTTTATGGCTTAACAGGCTCGAAAAACGAAGCGAGTATAATTAAGAAGGAAGCATTTTTATTGGATGAAAAATAGAACACTTTAAATATTATTTTATTTTTCGACCGGAACTCGTGTGTCGGGAACATTTGTAAACGAAGATAATGGTCATTTTGTAACGGGGTTTTGTCCCGTTCACATCCGGCTCTCGCTCTTGAGTATTTGCCTGTAAATCAGCCGAGATGTGTCTTATTTTATTTTATAACATTACCATCAGTCATTTATTTGTATATGAACTATTTTGGACATGAATATAATTTTTGATTCATCCCGTATTCCGTTTTTGTTATATAACGTATCTATGAACAGTAGTGTGTATGTCCCAATCCTCATAACTACGTTGGACACTATTGTAAGTGGGGGTGATATGCTGTTTAAGTAGTGCACCACTAGCAGTGGTTTACCTACTTCATGCCGCTGACGGGTATTGTTGATTTTATATGTTATATTGTTATTTTGTTGATGTCATAAAGATTACCATTCCAAACCCCGTTTTGGATATTCTTCATTCAGTTTTTCTAGGTTATAACACAGGTAGAGAGATAATGAACAGAATGACATATACATACATACATATATATATATATATATATATATATATATATATATATATATATATATATATATATATAGATAGATAGATAATGAGCAGAATGAGATAGATAGATAGATAGATAATGAACAGAATGACATAGATAATGAACATAGTTGCAGTATAAACCACAGATTGGCTCTGTGGGTGTTGAAGAAACATAAACGGGCCCGAGCAGATAGATATGAAACAAGATGCCATGCTGAAGATTATGCATCACACTGATTTGCATTGTGCCTTCAAATCAAAACTTCTGGCGAAAAGCTATTTATTAATCTTAATAAAACCCAAGTATATTAACCGTCTTGGGTAAGATGATAAACTACGTCCAGCAGCAAGGCCTGTGATCAGGAGATTTTGAGGAGCGTGGAACCACCTCTGACCCAGGGTGGTAGCACCTGTTAGGGTCCCAGCTATGGGAAAATAGTTAACAC